AAGACTGACGGTGCTAATGATGGCTTTCCCCTGGATGTTTACAGAGTCATTTGTTGGTTTGTGTCTCTGTGGCATTTCCAAAATAGAGGAGTTATTTACATGTTGCTGTTTAACATTTCCAGAGGTGTTTTTCTTCTTTTTGCTCTACTAAGGATGGTACAGTAGATGGTAAAGAAGTTTAGAGAAGGAGTATCATTACGTTGTCCTTCGTTGGAAGACTTTCCTTCAGTCTTCTAAAAATGTTTGTATGTTTCAGCATATGAGATTGAATATTTGATTAGGAAACATTAGGGGAGTTATTTTAAAGGCAGATTTTAAAGAACCTTAATCACTAATATATTATGCATGCTGAAAACCTGAGTGAAAAGGGAGTGTCGATTTGTATTGCTGAAATTGTGCCCTTCTTTGTCTTCCCTCTTGTTGGCATGGTTAAATATTTAAGTGCCTCTGCTGAGGGAATTAGGAACTTGATGTTGTGATCAAAATACTAGAGCGGCCGTGAACTATCCATCTTTTTACTTCTCTTACAGATCTCTGCATTCAACAGTGGTAGTGGCCTTGCAAGAGACTGTGAAATGACATCGTTTTTTTTTTTTTCTTCATATAGATTGAGATAGTTATTTATTATTGCAGCCTGTTCTTATTGCCATATAAATTGCTAGGAAAGTGTATGAAAATTGCTTTTGTTTCTGGTTCGGTCAAATTTGTATCCTTGTAAAAATACCGAGATGCAGTGCCATATGGCAGTAAATACACAAACTATATATATAGGATATTATAGGAAAAACTAGCCCTATTATTTGACTATAAGTGTTAAGTTACTTTCCAGATTTGGCATGTATTTCATTTGTTTGGTTTGTTTTGGAGGAAGGTTGGATGGGAAGGTGGGGAGTGAGGAGAGGAGGCTAGACTGTGCCTGAGATTTTTCCCAAGGCTGTATCAGCCTATGATGGCCTATGATGCCTACAATGGAATCATGTGATGGAATCACAGGAGTAACTAGTGCTGATATGATAGAATAGCTCTTAGAGACCAACTCTCTGTTTTGCGGTAAAGGAAACTGAGATCCAGAAAACTGAAGTGATATGGCATTGGTCATATAGCTAGTTAACAGCTGAGCAGGAGGTCATACTTGGGTTTCTTGATTCCTAGCCCAGAAGTCTCTTCAATATATCTTCCATGCAGATATGATGAATTTCCATTAGATAAAATTCAGTAGAATTTTGGTGATGAATAATGGTTAAGCTGTAATTGCTAGCCTCCGGAACCTGATGCGTGATAAATTAAAAGCATAATTAAGCACTTAAGAAGGAATCTTTTCTAAATTTCTATGAAATCACCTTTGAAATAGCCTTTGGAATCATGAAATAGATATTTCAATCATGACTCTCCTGATTGAAGAGAAGTGTTGAATATCCATACTTGATGCGTGGTAAATTGTTACAGAACAACCAGGAAGCTGCTTCCACATGTTACGTTCTGGTTCATTGACAATGTGAACCATGTTTTTTGGGTACTTGGGTTCAGTTCTTTAGCTTACCTGGATTCCTCATTCTGTCTCCCACAAATCTCAGATGAAGAGGCATGTTTTAAGGTACTCGGAGCTTCATGTCTCTTTTGGGGAAACATGTTTAGGGTACTTAGAGCTTCATGTTTTGGAGAAAAAAAATGATTCTAGAATCCCTCTAGTGTCACTAGATTAAGCAGGCTCCTTGCTTTGATTCCAATCTGGGACTAAGTGGAAGCCTATAGGAGACCAAAAGGCATAAAAATTATTTAAAAGGTAGGCGCTTTTTTTAAAAGGAATAGTTGGAGCTATAGTTCAGAAGCTTACTCCCATAGTACATTGCTTATTCATCTAGTTTTACACTTTGAAAGGTTCACTTATACATTGTAATTAGTTAGAAACTTGTGTTCTTTGCACTGCGAGGAATGTAAGCTTCATAACGTCACCTGTTATTACTAAGTCTTTGTGTCTGGAATAAGCACTTAATCACTGTTGAAATGCATGTGCCATGAGATCCTATAATCTTTTACTATAGTCTTGGATGCCTATTTTAGTAAAATTTCTGGAGAAAATCAAATTAAATATAATATAAAACATTAATGACAGTAGCAATTCTGTTGATGCTGCTACTGCTACTACTACTGCTACTACTACTGCTACTATTACTACTACCACTACTGCTGCTGCTGCTGCTACTATTACTGCTATTACTACTATTACTAGTAATACTGCTATTCCTACTACTCCTAGTAGTAGTAGTAGGATAAAGAGGAGAGGGAGAAGGAAGAAGCACTTATTTTGTGTAAGGCATTGTGCTGAGCATTTTACATAAATCATGTTGCAATTTAATCCTCACAACAAAATTATCATCTCCATTCTACAAAGGAAGTTTCACATGGTTAAGCTCCTTGCCCAAGGTCACGCAGCTAGCAGATAGCTCAGACTCCTGAGTTCACACTTTTACCATTAGGGCAATATTATTTTGTCACCCGGTCTTGGGAGAGGCTGTGAAAAGTCTACCCTCTGCTTCAAATCATTATGGCATTATTTGGTTTAGTTCAGTAAATAAATTTAGAAAGTTATACGTAGGCTTTGCCTTCCTAGAAGTTAAGCTAGCTCAGTTTGCTCAAGCAGAAATTATTAAACAATTTCCTGTGAGAAGAAAAAGTTATCTTTGTTACTGGTGATCAGTTTATGGGACAAAGGCCTGCAAATCTCTAGAAAAAAAACTGTTTGAGTAACGCCAACGAGAGTAGGCTCTTATTAAACTCTTTATTTAACTACCAGGTACTGAAGAATTGTGCAGAGATATGTCACATCATGACTTATGACGTTATTATGTCATTTTCAAGTGGGAAAATGGTCTAATGAATTTTTTAAAACCACCCCAGAATTGGAGCTAATATAGTTTTTCACAAAATCATAGATTATACTGTCATTCGTATACACATCTTTGTGATGAATGTTTAAGTTTTCTATATTAGTTTCAAATAATTGAGTCAATATGATTTCCACTGATTTAAAAATCACCAAGAAGCATTTTACTTCATATTTTAGTAAGAAATCTTAATATACTATTTAACAAGTAAATCACTTGTCTTTTTCTACGTACATAATCTTTATTTTATTACATTATGACATTATATATGTATGTCATCAGAATTTTCCTGTTTCAGTTTCTTTAAAAGCATAATTCAAAAGGTATGTTTTGATTTGTTCTTTTTATATTTTGAGAAAAACTTGCCATGATGTAGCAACATAATTGGGTTTCTATTTCATCTACCTTATTCATTATTTTAATTAGCATTTTGGTAAACTACTTATACTAATTTTTCTATTCCTCTTTTATGACACCTCTAATAATAAAATAATGACATTTAGAAGGAATTGGTTAGCCGAAAGACACCATTTGTATTCAGACTAAAGTTAAAAACAAATTTGAGAAAAGAACATGACTAAATAAAAAAAATGAAATGTCACATGATTAATACTAGTCAATTAGGCTTAGATAGAAGTTACAGCAACATATCACACCTATGGGGTGGCTTACTACCTATTTTCAAAATGAGATTCAAGGGAAAAATATCATTATGTGTGACAGTGTTTCCATGGTATGATGGCACCATTTATTCTGTATGTTTTGTTGCCCAGAGAAAGAAATGAGAGAATCTTAAAGAATGGTGATTGTTAATTTTTATCTTTCATTATTATTGTCAACCATAAAATTTGTATGTGGAAGACAATAATGATGATGATATTTTTTTTTATTAAAGTATAATTTCCATTTTATTTTTTTCCAGAGGACAGTTTTTCTTCAGTCCTTAACGACTTAGCTCTCTCCATGGGCTTTGGTGGGTTGTGGGGTAGCACCTGCAAGTCTAAATCTGGGTAGGGGTGTTCGGTCCTTCCGGACATCACGAAAACAATTCCTGACTGCCTTGCCGTGAATGGCACAACTCACACAGTAATGTAGTCTCGCATACAGCTTGGGAGGCACATAGGTGTCGAAGACACTTGCTTCAGAAATGTCCCTGATGGCTTTGGCCTCCACTATGTTTTGAATGACAAACTTCTTTATGGCCTTGCCCTTGGGCACGCACCCGGCGCTGTTGGTGCAGCGAATAGGCTGCACATGGCCGCGGCCCTTTTTGGAACGACCATTGTTCCTTCTTTTCTTGGTCTGTCTCAGGATGAAGACCCATCTTGAGAGTGCAGCCCCGAGAGGGTGATGATGATAATTTTAACAATAAAAGTGTCATCATCGTTAAATAGAGAAGAGTTGTTCAATGACCAACAGACTTGAAGAAGATAGAAACCTGGGTTTGTGGTGTTGCCACTTTGTTACCTTAGACGAATCTTTCCATCTTTTTGAGTCTCGGTTTCTTTATCTAAAAAATTCATGGGTTGTGTTAAATGATGTCTATGGTTAATTTCTGTTCTGTGTGTACCTTTACTTTCTTATGTTTGCTGGGAGAGAATCTTCTTTACCTAGTCTCTTAGAAAAATGATGTTAGGGAAAAGGTACAAAATCAGATGTTGTAGCCAATAGCCTGGTCAAAGAGGAATATGAGGATGTTTATACTCTTTTCTATTTTATTCAGCTGTAGTTTCGGTAATACATGTGCACAATATCCTTTGCAATTGATATAGAGGAGCCATGGTTTGTCGTTGTAGAGATGTGGAGTTGCCAAACAGGGCCTGGATCCATGATACTTGCAGCTACTTCTGAGAGCCTTGAGGAGGTTTCGCCTTCATGAGCTCATTTTTGACAGTCCGTGCACTTCCCGCACAAATTCATAGTTAATTTTCTTTTGAAATTAAAAACAATATCAACACTATTAATATATTTTGATGTGTTTTAAGCAGATTTGTTTAATTAAAACCAATGAAGGTAAATAGCAATGTTAGTGGTTTTCAGAAACAAACATGTTTGAACATACTTTAAGGAGAGAGAAGATTCTTACCTTTCCATTTCATTTATTTTTGGTTGCAGAACTTCAGATGGTGGTAAAGTTGTTGGCACCATAGAAGTCAGTGTCGTGAAGATGGGGGAGATTGAGGATGGGGAAGCCGACCACATCACGACAGATGTGAAGGGACAAAAGGTAGGGTCTCAGTCAGCTCATTGCACAAATTAAATTAGAAATGATCAGCTCTGCCAGATGCCTGAATCACCAATACCTCTGTGTAACGAAATCTCATTATTCAAAAGCTAAATGAGAAATCAGCTTTGGAATTGGAATACGGTTAACTGTGTTTCATCCTCTGAACCAGAGGGCCTGTTTGCATGGAACTATGCAAAGCCATGGCCATTCAGAGGCACCTTCTTCTTCACTGCTGGCTCCCCTGTTGACACTGTGTCTTCTCAGTTGGAACAAAAGTATTGATCACTTGCATTTGCCGTAATTAACCCTACTTGAGATGCACAGAAGATTCTAGGAGGGCTATTGCCAAAAATAACCACTTCTCTATTCTAAACCAGCTTCTCTTTGGAAAGAGATGCAATTTGAATTTGGATTTCATTTTTGTGAATGTGAAAGAGGGCACATTTAATGACTTTGTGCCTTATGAAATTGCAGAGAGAGAAGCAGGAAATAGTATAGAGAAGAGGGACAGCTCTGGAGGAGGGGTAATGCCGGCTGGAGGCAAAACAGCTTCCTTGAAGCCTGGGATAAAGGCCCCACTGCATATAAATACGTGTCCAGGATTTTTACTTTCTATTCTCTAAGACAGAGAAACTTGATGCAAGTATTAGTCTAAATTCCTATCTTAGGAATTCAATTGCCTATTTTATTGAGGCACAGGGGACAGACTTCAAAACTGCTAATAGTTTTTTTCAGGAAAATGAGCTTGCGTATACACTATAATTTCTACCTTTTCATAGATGAGCATTGTTTAATGAGAAGGCCTATTGTGACTTAATTTCTGGCTTAGTGTCCCTTATCTGGGAGCATGTATGATTTTTGATACTGAGGAAATATTTACATGAGAGGTGGTGTTTATCTAACACTTAACAAATCATTACCTTCACAAAAAAATCTAAGACTACCTTTCAAAAACATATTGTTCTTGCCCCAGAATAAGCTGGGGTTTAGGGTCATGTCTGATGCCCCAAGCTTTATTCTTCTGTGTTCCCCTACACTCCCCTGGAACGTATTATGAAAGTATTCTAAGGAGGCCCAAAGTTTGAACCATGTTGCTTGCAAATGTCAGGGCCCTGGTGAAGTTTTGCAGCAGATCCTATTAGGGTTTGTATATTCAAGACTCCTGTCTTGTGGCTAGGTCCCTTCATTCAATCCTGTTTCCTTTGGAGTTCTATATAAGACTCATATTAGTCACCACCACATGAATGCTTGTATCAAGATTGAGGAGGGAGGGTTTGGAGGCTAAACAGGGACGGAGAACAGAAATAGGCAGATAATTGTGCCTGGACCTATGGCAGTGTGCCAGGAGACCAGTAGCAGAAACACCTCCCGTGTCAAAGTAGGGCTACCTTCCCTGCCTCTGACCCTATTATTAGCCACCTCTCTGTTTTCCTCAAAGCTTGCCCATCCCTTGACTCCTTTGCTATGTGACTGTTATGAGGTAGTGCAAATTGAATCATGTTCTTTTCATAAATGGAGAACTTGATAGCCAGGAATATGCTCCACCAAAGTCCATCCTACTTAAAAAAGCCTTAATTGAGCTGTTCTAGAAATAGGAGGTGGCAGTGTCAGCGTGTACGGTGTACGAGTGGTAAATTGACTAATGTGGTAAACACAACAAGCATTGTTGACGTTAGCTCCGTCCTGTCAGGATCCTCAGTAAACCTTGACCTTTTGTGAAGTTTCTTTACAAAGTTACTATAAACTCTGTTGGCAATCCCTAGGGATATTCATGATTGAGTGACGAACATGTAGTAAGGTCCACTATGTGTGATATTTAGAAGAATTATGTAGAAATAACTATCTCAGTGTTTTTCAAAGTGTGATCAGAATCATCTGGAGTGTTGGTTAGAAATGCAAATGCAGGGACCCTTTTGCAGATCTGCTAAATCAAAATTTCTGTGAAGTGTATTAATGCAATCTGCTACTAGCAATGATCTATATCCTGAAGTTAGTGATTGATTGAAACATATGAAAAGACAAAGTAACTGAAATAGTGTTGGCCCCCATTACTTCCTTCACCTCATCCTCTACTCCTATTTTATTACTCACTTCAATCCAGCTACATTATCTTCTTTGCTATTCATTTAATATTCCAGGTACATTTCCAACTCAGGTCCTTGCACTTTGTTAATCAACCTACCTTTGAACCATTTTCCCAAGTAACTGTGTGCTCACTCTCTTACTTCCTTCTGGTCTTTATGCAAAATGTCACCTTCTCATTGAAGCCTCCTCTGCCATTGTATCTAAAATTGTAGTGTCTACGCCAAACTTTCTATCTCCCTTCTCTGCGTTTTTTTTATCCTTAGTACTAATCACTGTCTAATGTCATGTACATTTTATTTATTTATCTCATTTATTGTCTATTTCTCTCACTAAAATTAAACTTCATGAGAGAAAGATATTTGCCTGTTTTGTTCTCTCCTTTACTCCCAGTGCCTAGAACAGAGCCTGACACAGGAAAAATGAATGAATGAATAAATGAAGTCAATTTTACTTTGAAGAAATAAAATCTAAAATTGTGTCCTAGAAGGGAAATATTTGGCTGCATATAATGCTATACAAACTGATTGGTCAATAAATAAAGCCTAGAAAAAGGATGTAGTGAAGAGTATAGGATTATGAAGAAATTTTTAAAAAACAACCTTTGAAGTAAGTAGTCAAGAAAAAATGCTACTAGGGAAAGGAGAATTAGGAAGCAAAATCATCTAATCAGGTGATAGATGAGAAAACCCATGTAAATAACAGCCAGCAAGATGAACTGATACAGCCACCATCCTCCCCTTTGCCCTGCACGGAGATGCCTCTTCTTGTCAGGGCAGAAGGGTTGGTAAGAGGCATCTTCCAGTGAGGCTTTGCAGGGGCTGAGTTCAGGTCAGCTGCTGCCTTGTCTCTTCCTTTTGTTTAATGTCTATATTATGTTTGAATGTAGCACAGTACTAATGATCAAAGTGGTGGAGATTTCTACAAAAGGAAGGAAAATGCCTTAATTATTTATGACAGTGGCAAAGATGGTATAAATGGAGTTGTAATATGTTTCCTTTTGACTATGAACCCAATCTAACTAGTGTTTTGATGACCTGAAGCCCTTTTCTTGTTATTTTGCCTCCATACTTTGAAGTGGTTTTTAAGTGGACTTTCATCAGCCGTGGTCAGGGAAGAGGTTGAGTCCTTGGGTCGCTAAAGACCTGTCTCAAAATGTTCCATCTCTTTATTTTCCCCAAATATAAAATTGAAAATAATATGACTGGCCTTACTTACCTTGTAGGATATTTGCAGGCATATAATGTTCATCATTTATTTATCAAACAATACTGCCTTCTATGTTCTAGGCGTTCTCCTAGGTTCTGGGTATTCAGCAATGAACCAAATAGACGCAGATGCTGATTTCTGGGGAAGTACGTAATAGAAAATAAACAAGTAATATGTTGTTGATCAGATGGTGATATATGCTATAAAAAAAAAGACAGGGAGTGCTGGGGTCTAGCGAGTGCTGGGCTGTGGTCATTTTATACTGGATAGTCAAGGATAGATTCACTCATAACATGATATTTGAGCTGAAACATACAAGAAATAATGTGGAGCAAGATGTGGATATCTGAGAGGAACAAGAATTCTGGGTAGAGTGAATAGTAAGAGCAAAGGCCCTGAGGTGGCAACATGCTTGTTGTGTTAAGAGAACAGCAAGGAGCCCAGTGTCACTGGAACTGAGGGGTTGAGGAGGAGAGTGGTAGGAGTTGAGGACAGAAGTTCATGGGACAGGGAAGACAGATTGTGTACTCCCTTCTAGGCCATTAGACTCTGAGCTAAATGTAAAGACAGTTGAGGATTTTTGAGTATAGTCTAAAATTATCTGATTCATGTTTTGAGAGGACCATTCTGGCTGCTGTGTTGAGTAAGGCCTGAAAGGAGGCAAGAACAGAAGAATAGAGCCTGGTTATTGCAAGATTCAGGGTAGAAAGGAAGATGAGTTGGATCAGGGTGGTATCGATGGAGAAAGTAAAATGGGGCCAGACTCCAGGTGCAAAGGATAGCCAAAGAGTAGAATTACCATGTGTTGTGAAAAGGAAAACTGAGAGAAGCAGGTGAAGGAGGACAGGAAATTTTGAGATGTTAAGTCTGAAATTCCTCTTAGACATGCAAATGTAGATGTACGTAAGCAGTTGGAGGTTTGAGTGTGGAATTCAGATGAGATGTTCAAGCTAGAATTATATATTTGTGAGTCATCAGATGGTATTTGGGTGGTATTTAAATCATGAGACTGAGATCACAAAAGCATAACAATTCTCATATTTTACACTCTTAAAATTTATATTGATGTGGATTTTATCTATTGATATTTAGTATATTAGAGATTTTGCTGTTCTGGTTTATATATATAGACAGTTATCATATTAGAAATTCAACGAGAAGTGTTTAAAACAGAAGGTTACACAAGCACACATACCATTAGCCATCAAATGATTATGTCATATAGCCTCTGGAAAATTCCACTATATGCTTGTAAGAGAAAGAGATGGAAACAGTTAAATAATATTTTAGTATTATTATGAAAATAATTTTATCTTCACCCTGTTCTAGATGCTACAGAGGATGCAAAGACAAAAGTTATCAGGGACTTCCAGGAGACTCCAGACCCAACTTTGAGAACCATGATTTAAGGAATAAACTAACAGATGTGAAAGTGCTTTGCCAAGAAGTATTGGTCTTTGATGGATTCATACAGAACTTTATGATCATTGTTCTTACAATTGCTAATTTTCTAGCCCAATGCCTGACAAATTGATATGCTAGTTGATATTCAAAATCATTAAGCTCCAAGAATTTTACATGTCTTCTGTTTCTTCTCCTTGACCACACTTACCATCAAATGACACTTTTTATAGTATTCCTGAAAATCAATAGGTTCACGGTGCTACACATAGTATAAAAAGCATGTGATGTTTATAACAAACATTCTGCTCAAAATCACAAATGTGAAGTCATTACATTGAGAGCACACATCATATAAGTGTGTAATGCTGTAAATATCCATCATAATGACAGCAATGAACAGTATATGTGGCTTGAGTCTCCTTAAGCACAAATTCCACATTATTTTAATCTTTGCATTCTCTGTAGCAGCTAGCACATGTAAAAACGATTCTAGGGTCAGTTGTAAAAAAGTAAATAAAATGGGCTAAGGAAATAAGACAGTTCTTAGCTTCAAAAAAATTTCAATCTAAATAGTGACACAGAAGGTACACTCAGGAAACAATTGAAGAAAATAACTACCGAGTCCAAGATGAAAATATTAGTTAATTTAGTAAATACTTTTTGGATATTTTCTGTTTGTATGCCATGGATTTAAATCTTGAGAGCGTTCTGAATAGTAGAGCTTTAAAATACAATACAATTGCAAAATAAGAATGTGATTAGGTTAAAATTGTCCTAAATATCTGCCTTCCAAAGTGGATGGAAGATATGAATGTATGAAAGTCATATTTCTTTATCCATTTGGTAAAATAATACAGGCCTTCTGTTAGGAAACAGCAAGTTGTCTTCATTACAAAGAGGCAGGGCTGCTTCCATAGAGGAAAGCAGTTCTCAGGATAAGAGCTTGGTCCCTATGAATTATGGACTTCTTCACCCAAAGGGTTCAATCTAAACCATTCCTATATGTTATATTGTAGAAGATGATCCTCTTTTGGAATGGAGGATGGCTCATAACTGTATCCTAGTTATTATGTGGAAGGATGTCAGGGACAAATCATGAAAGGCTTTGAAGACCAGTCTGAGAATACTGGATTTGATTGGACGGTAAATAACCATTATACATTCTAGAGCAGAACATTGATATGATGAATATAATGTTTACAAAAGATTATTTTAACAGCCCTATGTAGGCTGAAAGAAGTAGTGAAAATATCGGAAATCAGAGAAATAAAGACATATTTTCAATATGTTCAAGCATCATTGCATATTGCTCTAGTGATTTCAAAAGTGAATTTCCAAAGTAGGTGTGGATTAAAAGAAAGGATCACTTCTGACTTCTGGTTGATCAGGAAAATGATTTAGAGAATGTAAAATTTTAAGAGCTGTTTGCAGTTATTCATTCTTTCAGTGAACTAGGATCTAAATATAAGCACTAAAGAGATTATGAAAGCACATTTTTTTTCCATCAAGAAATTTCCTGAGTAATGTGATGAATGTTATGATAGAAGGAGAATTAGTGGACTGTAAGAATACAGAATGTGAGATTTAAATCAATGTTTTAAGGTACTTGTCCTTCTTCTCAAAATGCTTGAGGGGCATATACATTCCATCATAGCAGTGACCTCAGCGACATGATTCTCAAAGGGGGCCAGTGCCTGGAGGAGGAGGCGTGGAGGGAGACAGAGAGTTAGGACAGTAAGGAAATAGCCCAAGCAATTCTGATACACCATCCTGGGGAGGGTGGTCTGAGCCTGTGGAGTGTCTTGAGCAAAGCTATGTGTGCTACGGAAGCACGGCAGTTTCCCTTAGAACTTCTCATCAAGAGAACTTTCTGGGTTTTCATTTGTTAGTTTTGTTTTTATTTGCACGTATTGGTTTATGTCTGATATATTTGCTCTGAAAAATTACTCTTCTCCTTCTCTTGGCTCTCCTCTTTCTTTTGGCTAGAGATAGAAGGTAACTCATTTGAAGAAACAAATGCTGGCGTTTCTCTGCGTGAAAGTAGATCTCTTGTCAACCTCCTGGGGTCAGAAAAGTTTTGCATCTCTGTTAATTACAGTTTCCTAGGAAGCTGAAGGAGAGTCCCACACTTAGAGATAGATTGTCTGGGATATTGTCTCCCACTCATGGCTCACTCACTAGGAACGTGGCAGTGTACTTTTCTGTGTCTCTTCTCTCTTTCTGTCCAGAGAAGTGTCGATTCTATAAAGGCTCATGAGCTTAGTCTATTAATCCTGGATTAATAGATCCATGATCTCTGGATCAGCTTACTTATAAATTGCTTATTTATAGATCAGTGGTCATCTTATTTATAAATTGTCCTTATACTTTATGAGCAAGTGTTTGCATTGTTTTGCTGAAGACAAAAATCTCCTTTTGCCCTATGTAATTAGATGCAATGGCAAATTTTATCTTTAAAGTTGACTTTACTTAAAATCTAAAAAATAATTTGCTTTTTTTGATCCAAAATTATCCCAAATGACAGAAATAGAAACCCATTCAGCTTGTCAAATGTGATTTGCTGTGCTCGGAACATCTCTCTAGCATGTTGGGGTCTATCCTTTTTCATTTATTACTTTCTTTCCTAAGTCATCTTTAACTAGAACTGAAATGTAGTCTATAATAATATAATACCATCATATTATATATAAATGCAAGTAAATAATCACAAGTTAAACAAGCTTCATAGTGAAGATAAAGTTGAAAATAGTTTTACAAAAATGTCTTGTTCAAAACTTTTTGAAACCATGTGCATAGCCTTATTTTTGCAAACAGAATAAAAGAATTTCATTTCTTATTTTGATTATATTCAAATATGTTTTCTTTTTTCTTTTTTCTTTTTTCCTTTCCTAGTGTGCACTGGTATGTGAATGTACAGCCCCAGAAATCGTGAGCGGGAAAGATAGCTTACCTTTTTTGAATGCAGGTATGTACCTCAGGTCTGGAAACTTATGTTAGTTTCATATGAACCTAAATGTTAATTTGCTGTGAACTCAGTCCTGAATCTAGGCAGCATTCTTACAGAATCATTTGTGAACACTTAGTAAATGAATTGGTAATCATGAGGAGGCAGCAGAGTGGGGGTAGACTTGACAATTCCGTAAGAAAGATATATGAATGCCTTGGCTACAAGGCAAAACAAATTCCTTTTAGCTATTGAATTTTGTATTATATGAAACAAGACATATTAGAAGACAGAGTAAGGATTAGAAATGTGAAGCTCTTATTTAGTTTGCCTTTCTAATTATAGAACTCAAAAAAGTTGTTAAAACAGTAGGTATATGGATTCATTAGGAAAAATTCATACACACATTTGTACATTCCTGGGTGTGTATGTCTATACTGTTACTTATAGTAATGTATTTGAATTTCACCAAGGCCCTAAACAGTGTGTTAAATGATGACCTCGTAGATAAAATTGAGAGACATATAGTACAGTTAAAAAAATGTGATAATATGTATATGTAAATTATAAAAGTAATCTTTGAATGATAATGTAAATTATGTTATCATTAATTACAATAGTAAATAATGACTATTATAGTGAGAGACAATATGCTAAATGCCTTAGATGCTTTGCCTTACCTTGTTTTCTGACGTGTGCTATGAAGAAGGCACTATCATCCCCATTTTACAGATGAGGAAATTAGTCAAGGTCACCTACTTAGCAAATAGCAGGTCCAGAATTTAAATCCAGTTTTGATCCCAAGGCCTTCGATTTTCATTTCTAGGGCGTGCTATTACTAAAAAGCTGTTAATTAACAAGTTGTTGTAAAAATAGAATAAGCCTTAATATTTTTCTAGCTCTGCCATGTTGTACATTTAAACAATGACACAGCATAACAATCAGCTTAATGAATGATGCCAAACTTCAAAGGCTTGCTAATACATAACCCCTAAACAATTAACAGTTTTTCCCTGCAGGAAGCCACTAATAATACAAAATGGATAAAGAGAAGGCGTCCCTTTGACTGTGCTTATACATACAGAGAACTCAAAATTATATATAACAACAATAAAAAATCCATTAACTATACAGAATGAGGGATTATACCAAAAAAAGAGCAGCTACTTCTCAACCTATGACCAAATGACATATTTTTAAAAAATTTTATGAAGGATGCAATATAGGAAGGGATGTGCATTAAACAGTGAAGCCTCTACCCAGACAGCTAGACCAGCCATGTACCATCAAATACCTGATAAGCTATCAGTGTGGTTAAAATATCTAATGTATCCTCAAAGAGCCCTCCTCACATTCATTTTTCCACCTGAAAGTTGACCAAAACTTTAGTTCTTTACTTTCATATATCCAGATCATCTATTGAATTTACTAAAGGTCAATTTTGAGAAATAAAATCAAGTGTGGGAGATTAAGTTCATGTTATATACAGTTTGAACGAATCAGGTTGTCACCACAATCATCCACACTATAATTATAAGATAATTTTTTAATGATTCACTCATGTGAACCCTGTAATTTTTTATGCACACCAAAGGAAATGCCATTTTAAAATACTGATTGGTTTAATATAAATTTCAAAGAGAAAGAGAAAAATGGCTCTCTAAGTAAGAAAATATATTACCTGAGGACTAAGAGACAGAGGGAACATAGTGAAAAATAAATCTGCACCTCCTAATACTGAGCCATAAAATCTGTAAGGCATGAGTCTTGGAAGTGCACTAACTCTTCCGTATTACTAGGGACTATTCCTAATGTGTGAATTATAATATGACAAAGACAACTGACGTGGAATTGATAGAAGCTACATTCTGCAATTCATATGGACTTAGTGGAGTGAAAGATGATTGATTACTGCTTTTCTTCTTTCATGGAGGTGACAGTTTTGGTGGTGATATTCCACTTAGTTCTGAAGATATTTCTCAATGAACTTAGTCCAGGCAATCTGGAGGAGCACTTAGAACCTAGGATATTTGCCACAAATATTTTCTTTGAGTCTTCTTATATTTGGGAAGGACAAGGCTAAGTGACAGCAAATCTTATAGAAGCCAGATTTAAAAAAAGTTTTTTTTTTAATACAGCTAAGTACTGTATATGAAATGTTTCTGTTCGAAATGTTTCTGTTCAAAATGTAAAAGCGTGTTGTGCTGGTATAGAATATACCTGTATGTATGAATTTGGCCTGGGTGCACCTTTGTCTTTTGTTCTATTTATTTATCTATCTAAATTCAGCAACTTTGGAATTAATCTATTATAGTCCCATGTGATATTTTAAAAACAAATCTGTAGGCAAAGGGAGCTATTGACATTCTTCTCAAGTCTTTGTATTAATGTATTATATAGAACTTGCCAGCCTCAAGTGAGTTATGAAGTACTTATTGAGTGAGTGGATGAGAATGTCATATTTCATAGCAGCTCTTTGCTATTCTATTTATATCTCTAGAGGTTTAATTTATAATTCAGGAAATTCACTTATCTATTGTAAGACTAAAAAGAAAAAGTTCTTCCCCCTAAGGTCTCACCTTTTTTATGTCCTGTTTGCCTTGCAAGTTGAATGTGTATGTTGGGAATCTGGGGAATTGAGGGCAGAAGGAGAGAACGGATGAGGAGGAGGAGTAGGAACAGAATTTACAAGCCCATAAGAAAGATATATAAGAACCTTCCCTACATGGAAAACAAATTCCTTTTAGCCGTTGGATTTTATATTCTGTGAAACAAGACACGCTAGAAGACGTTGTAAGTATTAGAGATGTAAAGTTCTTATTTAGTTTGACTTTCTAATTGTATACTTCACAGAATAAAGTTGTTAAAACAGTAAATTTATCTCTTTAGTTATTTGCTTATTCATTTAAGCAAAATGGTAGTAAGAATGCTTAAAACTATTTGTTGTTGGGGGACTAGAGAGTAGGGGAAGTTAATTTTGACCATTGAGAAGTGCAGAGAGTCAGGTCTGCCACATTTCCTGCTAAGTCACATCAACCGAGGCCCCTTGCCTGCAGCAGAACAATTACAATTGGGCTCTTGTGGTCTTAATAGAAGAGGACAGGACGAACTGTCAGAAGAACTGGTTCAGAGCCTGGATTTGCCAACCAGCAGTGTGACCCTGCTAGACAGGTCAGCCTCTTTGGACATCAGTTCTTTTAAAATGATCAAATTAACCTGGACAGCCTTTGACTTCCTTTTTGGCTCTCAAATGTTTGAAGCCGATATAGCATAGCTTAGCTTTTGCATGTTTTCCTTCTTTGTAGAAATATTCCATAAAAGTATTCATTTTAATTAGTTTCACATGGGGTCACATATCAATTCGTTGTTGTCACATATCAAATGTTGTCATTTACAGTTGTCTTTCTCGGGTGTTATTTATATGTAATAAGCCTGACCACAAATATACCTTCTTAATATTCGATCAGGAAGACAGTTCTTTCTGTAATGCGACAGAGTCCTTCAGCCCGTAGACCCTTACATTGCTGTGCCAAATCTGAGGAGCTAATGGGCCCTGTCACAAAGTTTGCTATTATGTTCACGTTTTGAGTGAGTTTCCTTCATCAACAAGCATTCCATCTGATACAGCATCTTCCTCAGTTGAATTCCACACTTCCTGAGTCATGAGATTATCTTTTATATTCTTTAAAGACCACTTGAATGCTGTATATCAACATGTGTACTGTCCATCATATTCACAGAGGGTATATCTGACGGCGATGATTTCCAAGACTGTGTAAGTTGGACTCTAAACAAAGACAAGGGCACGGCACTGCTGGCAACCCTAAATACAGGCAGTGCCCCTCCTATTTGGAGAATTTATTAGTGTTTGTACTTCTTGCTTCACAGATGAATCAAACTTTTTCTCAAAATAGGTCACTGTATCTTTGATTCTTTTCCCAAAGTAGGGTTAAGCCATCCACTATAGTTGTTTTGCAGAAGATGCTAGATGATAAGCTATTTAAGAAGAAGGATCGCTGCTTCTTTCTTTCTCTATCTCCAGGACCAGAGTACAATAGGAACTCAATAAATGTTTGTCAAATGGCTGGTAACATGTGTATCATGTAACACATGGTAACATGTGTAACATGACCTGATGCAGCAGGTAACAGAAAACTGCATTGTTATTCTCTCCATGAGAAAAATGTTGAAATTTAATTAATTTTGAAATAAAATAATTTATTACTTTCCTTAAAAACTACTCCCAAATTCTCACTTTTAAATGTTTTCTGCCTCATGAGGCACCATGGATTTTAAATGCCTTTCACAGTACCACACAACTGAGTTAAATATTGGAGTAACATTCTCCTCACTACCACCCCCACCCAAAGCAATGCATGACTCAGAATATTTGAAGAGATTGTCAAAAATATTTTCCTCTATACTCATTTTGAGTCCTGATGAATTCCAGCCAAAAGGCAAATCCCCAGTTTTTTCCCTTTTTCTCTTTCATTCATGAGGTACTAAATCTACTACCTTTTAGATGACATCATTTTATATTAACAAAGATATCTCTGTTGTGTTTTCTCCATACTAGTTTAAATAGATTCTTCCCTTGTATTTATAACTCTATGATATGTAAAATTAAGGGTCATTTTGGCCTATGACATTAGCCCTTGATCTTTTATATTTACTCACCAGATTTCTTTGCCCTTTGCTGTTTTAACAAATGTGATGGAGGCCATTAACCTGCTGTTTTGAAATTCCGTATCCTTTCATTACCGTGTGCTAATATATTTAGGATGTTAAGTAGCTTCAACTGGAAGAGTGCATTTCGCTATCTAATAATCAATGGAATAATCTCTTAGATACCTTTAAAGGCTTCAACTGTCTTTCTGTGGTAAGTCCACCGCCTCCTCCACTGCCCAGCTTAGTAAATTAGAAGAAAAATAAAGGCAAGGAGATGATATAGTCAAAAAGTTCACATTTTGAGGAAGCCTTTCTCTCGATTATGGTTTTTCCTTCCTCCATCCTGATACCTG